CGTCGTAGTAAGGACACGGTAACTGCCACTGGAGGCTGAAACGTCAGTGTCTTTTTTCAAGATGTTGGACGTTTGGGCCCTCCTCCAGCTCCCCCTCCCCGCCACCAGGGTTGTTCTGAATCTGCTGCCTCGGGGTCGTGCCTCGGGATCTTGATGACCTCTTCGAGGGGCAGTTGGCATGGGTGTCTCGCCGCCCATGATGGCGGAACAGTGTCCTCGTCCAGCTTTTCGCAGGGATCTAGAGCAAGACTCCAGCAGCGTTAGACATGGATAGTTCCTGGCGGTAGGCAGTCGCATGTGAACCCAATCCCTTCTGCCCACGGATTCGGACCAGCATGGATTGGCTCGTGCCCGCCCGCAATTTGTTGCCCCTCACTGCTGAACCTCTACTGGTCTAAGCCGATGGATGGGCAGCACAACTGCCTAGGTTAGGATCGGAGTCGCCCCAACATGCTAATAGTGTGTGTGTGCGTCGCCCCCCCCCCGGAGCCGACGCGCGCACCGAGAAATCTTGTGTGTCGTGGTGGACGGTTTCTGGTCACAGCGCTCGGGAAACGAAATACTACAAGATGGTTATACTGTATGTTCGGGTTGGACGCACGCCTCCAAGGCAGACGGAGTACTAGTGTGTCTTTGTGCGTCACATTTCTGCTCTTCTTGCGCGGGCTTCCCACCTCGGAGTGCTCCTCGTTCGCGATCTCTCCAGTGGGTCTTGCGCCTTCGGTGAAGGGGATCCTGTTCTTGACCCGCGCTCCTGGTGGCCACGTCTCGACTGTATGGTTAAGTCGGGCGTGTCCCTCTCCAGGAGAAATCTTCGAGAACAGTCCAGAAGTAAAGCGGGGACGATTCCTCGACTATTTCAGACTCTTTCTGATTCTCATTTTCGGACTGCTTTTGAATTCTCCTTCCAACATCCGCCTGCAATGGGGGACATGCCCGGTCTCACTGTACAGTCGGGGCCCTGAAGAAGGAACCCTTTTCGTTGGGGAGGGGCTCCGCTTTCCTTAAGTGTTTCACAGCTTGCCTCAGGCTTTCCCTATGTTTTCGACAGGAAGTCGAAGGTTAACTTACGAAAAAGAGGGGCCTCGTTCCTTATTTAGGGTTCCTTAGGTCAACGCCCCGACTGTATGGGGCAGGGCTCACGGGCGGGCCGCCCCGCGCATCGTCTCTTGGAGGGGCGCGCCTGCCGGCCGGCCGGCCGGCCGCCCGCCCCCCCAAAAGGCGGTGGGCGCGCCGCGGCGTGTCTTCCCGCCGCCCGCCTAGCAGCCGCCAGGCAGGCGGGGCCGCCCCGAGGGGGCGCGGCGAGGAAGCGCGCCTCGCTTCGCGCGTCGGCCCAGGCCAGCCAGCTTGGAGGGCTTCTCCGAAGGGCTTAGGCGACCCGTCCTCCTCCTCCTCCCTCCTCCTCCTCCCTCCTCCTCCTCCTCCCCTCCTCCTCCTCCTCCTCCCCCCTCCTCCTCCCCCTCTTCCTCCTCCCCCTCCTCCTCCTCCTCCTCCTCCTCCTCCTCTCCTCCTCCTCCTCTTTTCTCCTCCTCCTCCTCCTCCTCGCCCTCCTCCTCCTCCCCTCCTCCTCCTCCTGCTCCTCCTGCTCTCCTCTCCTCTCCTCCTCCTCCTCCTCCCTCCTCCTCCTCCTCCTCCTCCTCCTCCTCCCCCCCTCCCCGTCCTCGCCCTCCCCTCCTCGGGTCGCCTACGGAGCCAGCTTCCCGGAGAGAAACGAGCCAGCATCCTTGTTTCTCGCGCCCGGCCTGGGGGGGGGGGTGCCTTCTCCTGGCCCCGGGAGCGTCCAGAAACGGCTCGGGACGACTCGGGCGGACGGCGCCGGCGGGGGATCGAGGGTTGCAGGACAGCGCCCTGGAAAGGGCCCTGCACGGCCCCTAACCTGCCACCGCGGGCCCCAAGAAAGGTGTGCGACACGTGCACGTTGCTTCGCGCCATGTGAACCGCCCCTCGTCAACGAACGCCCGAGTGAAACGCCAGCCCCAAGCAGATATACAGTTGTTCTATACACATATATATACTTGTACAGACAATGATGTGCAATACCCTGTTTGATGAGGTACATGTTCAAATGGATCATTGCATTGGTGGCCCCCAGACGTTGGGTTCTTTCCCGGAGGCATCGGAGCAGGATCGGTCAATGCTTCCTCGATGCCCACCTGTCAGATCGCCAGGCCCAGCTTGCAAGGATCGGGCCTCGTGGGGGGGAGCCGCGCGGAAGGAAATCGATGCGTCGGACCTCGGTCGCGGCCTGTGCTGGACGGCTGCCCTTCCTGGCCGCGCGCGGAGGGGGGTCGGGGGTGGGGGGGAGAAGGCTTGTCAGAAGGAGGGCTGCTTCCTAGAAGGCGCGGGCCTTCGCCAGACGTTCAAGGCCAGCGCCTTCTAAGACGCAGCCTCCTTCGAAGAAGCCTTCCCCCTCCAGCCCTGCCCTTGGTGGCGGCAAAGAGGGGGGTGATGACAAAGGGGGGTGGATATCATGGCGTGGGCCCTGATCTTTCCTCAGATTTCATGGCGCCTCCTCTTATTTCATGACGTTCCTGCCCCCCCCCCCTGGGCCGCGCACGTGCCGCCGGCCGTGATTTGCGCCCCCCTCGCCCCCCTTGGACGCCCCCCTCTTGGTCGCCCCCGATACCTCCCCCCCCCCCCGCGCACCGCCAACCCTCTGCAGGGTGGCCTCGCGAGGGCGCGGTGCGGAGCGCGCGGTCGCGCCCTCGCGGGGCGGCGGCGCGCCCCAGCCCAGACCGTCCTTGGCGTCAAGCTGGGGCCCCCGGACGCCCTGGCCTATTTCCGCGTGTCGGGTGCTGCACACGGGGGGGGGGCGATGGGTGGAGGAGGAGGAGGAGGAGGAGGAGGAGGAGGGGGAGGAGGAGGAGGAGGAGGAGGAGGAGGAGGAGGAGGAGGAGGAGGAGGAGGAGGAGGAGGGGGCGGCAAGGCCCGCTGGCGCCTCCTCTTGGACCGCAGCCGCACAGAGCCAGGGCGGGTGGAGGATGGCCGCGCTGGGTTCCGTAGGCGGCGAGGGTGGCACCCGCAGTTGCCAACCGTCGAGCCCTGCTTTGGGGGCACGTGGCAGTGTGCGACGCGCGCTGTCCGTACTCGACGTGCTTCCTTGCTTGCTTGCTTGCTTGCTTGCTTGCTTGCTTGCTTGCATGCTTGCGCACTTGCTTGCTTGAAGAGAGGTGCGCTGCTTGTGCCCTATCAAAGGGGCCCTAGAGGGGCTCCCGGGGCCCAAAAGGCACGAAGGGTGCACGCTTCTCCCTCCCTCGCTCCATGAATCCCCCCCCCCCAAGAAGCATCTCCCAACCATGGGCCGGCTTCTTATCCCGAGTCGATGTTTGAGGGTCCCGGGGCCCGGCGAGGGCACCCAGAGGCCGAAGACTGCCACCAACCTTCCGTCGTTGCCCTTCTTCACGGCACAAGCACGTTTGTTTGGGAAGTCGGGTGGCCCAGGCAAGAACGGCCGGGGCCCCCGGTCGCTGGGCCACGCTTCGGGCGCCGGGCCGGTCGGAGTCGGGCGGCTGCTGGTGGATCGCTGGCGCTGGGTCGCGGTCGGTGGCCGCTGGGTGGTCCTGGCCGACGGCTGACGCCTGGGTGGGGCGGGAGGAGGGAGGAGGTGGACCAGGGAGGAGGATGGGGATGATGAGGATGATGAGGATGATGCTGATGATGATGATGATGATGATGATGATGATGATGATGATGATGATGATGATGATGATGACGATGATGATGATGATGATGATGATGATGATGATGACGATGCTGATGATGCTGCTGATGATGATGCTGACATGATGATGATGCTACAATGATAATGATGATAACGATGATGATGATAATGATGATCATGATGATTCTGACGATGATGATGATGATGATGATGATGATGATGATGATGATGATGATGATGATGATGATGATGATGATGATGATGATGATGATGATGATGATGATGATGATGATGATGATGATGATGATGATGATGATGATGATGATGATGATGATGATGATGATGATGATGATGATGATGATGATGCTGATGATGATGATGATGATGATGATGATGATGATGATGATGATGATGATGATGATGATGAGGAGGAGGAGGAGGGAGGGGATGGCGGAGGAGGAGGAGGAGCAGGGGGGGAGGAGGGGAGGAGGAAGGGAGAGGAGGAGGAGGAGGACGAGGAGGAGAGGAGGAGGAGAGGAGGAGAGGAGGGGGAGGAGGAGAGGAAGAGGAATAGGAGGCGGAGCAGGAAAGGAGGGAGGAAGGAGAGGAGGAGGAGAGGAGGAGGAGAGGAGGAGGAGAGGAGGGGGAGGAGGAGGAGGAGAGAGGAGGAGGAGAGGAGGAGGAGGAGAGAGGAGGGGAGGAAAGGAGGAGGAGGAGGAGGAGGAGGAGGAGGAGGAGGAGGAGGAGGTTGACGACGAGCAGGAGGACGAGGAGGGAGAGGATGGGCAGGGTGTGTGTGTGTGGGAGAGAGGAGGACGCGGAGGAGGATGGAGTGGAAGAGGAGGAAGGGGGACGGAACGAGGGGATGCTGCTACTGATGATGCTGCTGCTGCTGATGCTGATGTTCATGCTGCTGCTGATGACAATGATGATGCTGCTGCTGATGATAATGATGATGGTGATGGTGATGGTGATGGTGATGATGGTGATGGTGATGGTGATGGTGATGGTGGTGATGATGGTGATGATGATGACGACGATGAGGATGATGATGATGATGATGCTGCTGCTGATGATGATGTTGCTGGTGCTAATGCTGCTGGATGAGGATGGGGAGGAGGGAGGAGGATGGGAGAAAGTGAGGAAGATGGTGATCCCTCCAAGCTCTCTCTTCATAGGCCCCATACACGGTTTCAGCTCCACAGGGAAGGGCCGCCTTGGGAGACAACCGTGTGAAAATCCTGAAGCGTGCCGAAACACCATGCTCAGAATCTCAACGCCGCAAGTCAACATGACTGTTGCGTCTTGGCGATCTGGGATCGTGCCAGGACCCCCTTCTTGGGATTCCTGCAACGCGGATGAACGTAACCGTTTCGCCCTGACACTCCTGAATCGCTTCAAGGCACCATTTCCAGTACGTCAACCATGAGAATCCGCGAACCTCCTGCATTTGTGAAGCCGAATGTGCAGGGCGCTCAGGCGAGAGCCACATCTTGTTGAAATTGCATGTGCAGGGGGCTCCCCCTTGTCGGCACACCCCCTCGCGGTGGCCGAGTGTGTTTTTTTCCGTTGGGCTTCGCTCCCTCGCACACATGGTTGCGCAATCCTGTAGAATGCTGCTGGCAGTGCTACACATCATAAGAATCGTATCATGTTGGTGCTAAGGTGAATAAGGGCAACCATTGACATGCATCCATCAGAATTCTTGCACTACTACCGAGGACCTTCGTTTTGATATATTTAGAAGGGTAGCATCATTACCACTACCAGTAACAGGATTATGCGAATGAGGATGAGGACGGAGCGGAGGCGGAGGCAGACGCGGAGGAGGCGGCGGAGGATGAGGAACAGGAGGAGGAGAAGGAGGAGGAGGAGGATGAATAGGAGGCCGACGAGGACGAGGCGGACGAGGACGAGGCCGAGGCCCTTCATCGTCTTCGGGCTCGACGACGGGCCGCCGACCCTGCGCGGGGGGCCGCCGCCGCCGCCGCCTCGCCGCACCGGCGGCCAAGCCTCGCCGCGCGGAGGCGCCCGCGCTTCGCCACGCGGGCCAGCTCTTCCCCAGGAGGGAGGAGGAGGAGGAGGAGGAGGAGGAGGAGGAGGAAGAGGAGGAGGAGGAGGCGGAGGAGGAGGAGGAGGAGGAGGAGGAGGCAAGATCCTTGTTCATAGGCTCCTACAAGGAGTCATTTCCACTGAGGGACTTGCCTCGTTGGGGGACAACCGTGTGAACAGTACGAAGCGTGCCAAAACACCGTGCTCAGGACGTCAACGCCACGAGTTAACCTGACTTTTACGTTTTGGCGATCCTGAATCCTGCCGTAGCACCATTCTTGGAAATTCAGCACCGCAAAGTAACGTAATTGTTGCGCCCTGACAGTCCTGAACCGTTCCAGAACGTCTTTTTTTACCATGGGAACCAGTGAAACTCTTGCAACTGTTTAAAACGAATGTGCGCAGCGCCAAAGTGGAAACCACAAAGCGGCGCCCTCCATTCGTGAAGCTCTTACACATTTGAGACAGAATGCGCGCGGCGCTCAGGCGAGAGCGGTATTTTGAAAACCATCCGCCCTCAATCCGAGAAGTTCTTGCGAATATTAGAACGAATGTGCGCGGCGCTGAGAGGCACATTTTGAAACCGGCCCGCCTTCAATCCGTGAAGCTCTTGCAACTTTTAACAAACGAATGTGCGCGGCGCTGAGGCGAAAGCCACATTTTGAAACTCACCCTCAATCCTTGAAACTTTGGCATTTTTGGCATCTGATGTGCGCTGCGCTAAGGCGAGAGCCACATTTTGAAACCGGCCCGCCCTCAATCCGTGAAGCTCGTGTAAATTGCGGAAATGAATGTGCGCGGCGTTAAGGCGAGAGCCATATTTTGAAAACGACCCGCCCTCCATCCGTGAAGCTCCAGCAAGTTTTTCAGACGAACCTGTGCGGTGCTAAGGCGAAAGCCACATGTTGAAAACCACTCGCTCTTCATCCGTGGGGGCGCTCAAGGTTGAAGCCGTGGTGTCCCGAGGTGCTCCCCTGGTCGCGAGACGCGGTCAAGGAGGGGGGCCCGGGGGGCGCTCAAGGTTGAAGCCGTGGTGTCCCGAGGCGCCCCCTCCGCCGCGAGACGCGGTCAAGGGTTGGTGCCGGGGGGACGCTCAAGGTTTAAGCCGTGGTGTCCCGAGGCGCCCCCCCAGCCGCGGAACGCGGTCAAGGGGGGGTAACCGGGGGGCGCTCAAGGTTGAAGTTGTGGTGTCTCGAGGTGCCCCCCCCCCAGCCGCGAGACGTGGTCAAGGGGGGGGGGGCTGGGGGGCGCTCAAGGTTGAAGCCGTGGTGTCCTGGACGCTCCCTGGCCGCGGGACGCGGTTAAGGGGGGAACCTTTGGGGAACTTTGTGCTGATCGGTGTTCTCTCACAACGTTCATCGTATCGTTTGCGTCCCTGCAGCCGCATGCATGACCCGTTCAATCGATCTCCGCCTAGACGGTCCCAGAGGCGCCCAAGACGCCCCAAGAGAGCCCTAAGAGGGCCCTACGGGAGGCTCAAGAGGGCCCCACGAGGGTGCTAAGAGGGGTCGTGGGGCAGTCTCTTGGAGGGTGTGGCTCCTAACGTGCCCCCGAGCCCCCCCGGGAGGCCCCCAAAGATATCAAGAAACCTCCAGAAGCTCCCGAGTGGCCCCGCAGAGACGCCGAGAGGCCCCCAAGAGGCCTTGCAGAGGCTTCAAGAGGGCGGGGCGGTGGGATACGAACCCTGTCTCTGGGGCCGTCGGTTTTTGGGCACGATCCGTGTGAGGAGTGAGTCGAAATACGCGGGGACGTCAAGCGAACCTTCCCACTAGGGCAGCACGTGGAACTACATCCTTCTCGGGCACGATCCGTGTAAATGGTGTGCCGAGATGGGCGGAGGGACGCGTGCGAACCTTGTCCCTGGCACTGTAAGTGGAGCTCTGGGCGAGGCGCGCGATCCGTGTGAGGGGCGTGCCGAAATTGGCGGGGCGATGCTATGTGATCTGCGTGATAGGTATTCTTTCACCTCGACTTCAAACCATTAATGGGTCACTACTTCAATCAAGGGCTGCGGCTTGCTAGAGCCTGGGGTGCGCTTCGTGCCGCCGCCACCGTCGCGGTGCCACCGCTGCCTCCGTTTCGCCGCGGGCGTCTCGATACGAGCCTGGTGCCGCGCGCGCCAGGCTCTACCCCTGCTAGGCTAACAAAGGGATTCTTGGAGCCCACTTAGGGATCCCCTTGCGGCACCCTTGACGCCACTTTGGGCTGCTCGTGAGCTCTGGCGGCTTGCCTTAGGGCCGAGGGGGCACTTCCTTGGGCCCTCTCCTTCGGACGCTATCATCTGGCTTTCTCTTGAGGCGCCTCTTGGAGCTCTCCTGTGTCTGCTTGGAGCTCCTTGGGCCATGCTTGGGCCACCCTTGGAGCCCCTCTCGGGGAACTCATTGGCTGCTCTTGGGTGCCCTTTGGCCCTGTCTTGGGCTCCCCTTGGGGTGCTCTTGGGCTCTTTCTAGGGCGGCTCGTCCCTGGGACCTCTGGGTTCCCGGAATCATGTTCGGTATTTTGCATTATTGTGCATTGCATTGTATTGTATGCCGCTGGGTTGCTTTCCGTTGCATGTGCAATTGCAGTGCTTCGTGATCCACGTTGCACTGGTGAGTCTTGCTCTACTTTACTTTGATTTGCATTGCGTTGCATTGCTGTGCATTCGTTTTGCTAACTTGTGCTTGTACTGTTTCGAGCTGCGTTGGACCCGCATCTGTCTTGATTTCATGGCAATGCGTTGCACTGCGCTGCCGTTTTGGTCACTCCATTGCTTTCACTGGTGTGCGTAGCTTCGCATGGAATATTATGCAAATGTCTTTGTCGGCAATTTGTATATGCTCTGCTCGCGTTATAGATGCAGTATACCCCATACTCAAACCATTTGTGGGCAACTACTTCAGTGACTATGTGACCTTGTCACGGGCAGGGGCTGACTAGAACCTAAGCGCGCAAAGCGCGCGAGGGGTCTAGTCCTCCATATATCCTCATGCATCTTCTCGCCCTCCATCTCCTCTTATCTCCTCCTCACGTCCTCCCACTCTTTTTAAGGACATTCCCCAAACAGTGCTTGCACTTGGGGTTTCTTAGTTGGCTTAACAATCTCGGGGTGAATGGCGGCTTTTGCTGGCGGTGCTGCCCGTCGCCGCCGTCGCCGTCGCCGTCGCCGTCGCCGCCGCTCGGGGCGAGTGGCGGCTTTTGCAGGCGGTGCCGCCCGTCGCCGCCGTCGCCGTCGCATAGGGTGCACCACATATATATATATATATATACTTTTCTGACAAGAGAATTAATATACCCCCCGGGATTATCCCATCCCCTTTTCGTATTGCAACTTGCATATGAATCTGCCCCATCGTTCATCCTAAATATGAATTGGTACCATCCCAGCCGAGCCGGCATCCGCCCCCCCCGACATCTTTGGCAGCAAGTGCTATGCGCGCACACTCGTTTATCTAACATCATCAGTTTTCAAGAACTCCTTGCAACAAATGCGACGACTTGCACACGCGCGCGTTGTCGCGCGCGCATGCCGAAATCCAAAGAGAACGCTCGGTTTCGTAAGGGTTTCATCATCGATTGTTCAACAACACACATATATATAGATATATAGAACACCTGGTTTCGCAATACGATTTTCAAGCAAAGCTTGCGCGGGCGCGCTCTCGCGAATTCTTAACAACCAGGTTTTTCACCATTTTCAGAACATGCGACCAAACCGATTTTCGAACCAGAACTTGAGCGCGCTCTCGTGCGGATTCGGAAGAAACCATCGGTTTTGTCAACATGTCCAGAACATGCTGCCAAATGGGCCTCGCGCGCGCATGTTGAAATCGTTCGGGCGCCCTTGCGCGCGTGCTGTCGTGAGAATTCGTTTGCACAAACAACGGGGCGAAGTGCACGCGCGCGCGTCGTCGCGCGCGCGCATGCCGAAATCCGTCAACAAACTTCGGTCTCGTAGCGATTGCAAAACCGAGTGTCCAACACCACATACAAAACCACATAGTTTCGCAACATCAGTTGTTAAAAAAGTGCGATCGCGCTTTTGCGAATTCTTCAGAAACAAAACATCAGGCTTTGCAGCATGTTCATGGGATTCTGCGAAACGGGCTTCTCGCGCCGCATGCCGGCAACATTCGCACGCCATTGCGCGCGTGGGGGGGGCACGATCCGTGTCAAATCATACCATGCGGGCCACTTTCGCGCCTCGGCCGCGCGCACATGTCGAACTCTTTCCAAAACATTTATCACCGACGCGAGGACGCCGTCATTGTCGTTGGCGTGATCAGCATCGGCGCCCGCACTGGCCGCCCCTTCGTCGTTGTCAACATCGTCGCCAGCATCGCTACTACCATCATCGTGTCTACTGTTGTCGACATTGCCATGATACCACGCCCGCCCAAGTCGCCGACTCGCAGTGAGGTGCCCGCTGGGATGTGCCCAGCGGTCGGCGCCACCGCGGCCGCGTCGGTCGCGCCAAAATATCTGGCCGTTGCGCGCGCGTGCTTGGGTTGGCGCGGCCGCAGAGATGCACCAGCCAACGCCAAGCATGCATCGCAATCGCCACCGCAGGGTTTTGCACACCAAGTTGCGGGTGGGTGGGTGGGATGTCTGCAAGAGCATGGGATGTGTCAGCTCGTTTGTTTAAATCAATTTTCCTTTCTAAGAAGATAATAGACTCTACCCCTCCCCGGACTTATCGGTTCCCCATGGGATAATATGTTTTCATATATATATATATATACATTCTGCACAGTCGTCCATCCTAAATATGAAATCTTACCATCCCAGCTAGGCCGGTTTCCCCCCCTGAGGTTCCCTTGTCAAAAAAAAAAAAAACACTGTGCGGTGACATTTTTTGTTCTAACATCGCACTTTTTCGCGAATCCCTTGCAGCAAATGGGACGAAGCGCACACGCGCGCGTCGTCGCGCGCCCATGCCGACATCCTTCAAAACCTTCGGTGCGGGAAGGATTTCGCAATCGAGTTTCCAAAAAAACATACAGAAACACACGGTTTCGCAACACACAGAGTTGCTAAAACAACTTCCGCGAACGCTCTTGCGAAATCTTAAGAAAACCATAGGTGTTTCAAGATTTTCACAAACTGCTACCAAACGGGCCTCGCGCGCGCTCATGTCGAAATCTGTCGAACGCCCTTGCGCGTTTGCCGTCGCGAGAATCCCCTGCAAAAAATGGGACGAAGTGCAGACGCGCGCGTCGTCGCGCGCGTATGCCGAAAACCTTCAAAACCCATGGGTTTCGGAAGGATTTCAAAATCGTGTGTCCCAAAAAACTAGAAAAACACAAGGTTTCGCAGTACGGATTTTCAACAAAAGCGTGCGCGCGCGCTCTTGCGTCGTCGTCGTCGTCGTCGTCCTCCCTCCTCCCGCGTCGTTGTCGTCGTCGTCGTCGCCTACGTCGTCCTCTGTCTTTCCTCGTGTTCGTCGTCGTCGTCCTCTTTGGCGTCGTGGTCGTTTCCGTCGTCGTTGTCGCCGTGGTCGTCCTTCCTCCTCCTCCCTCGTCGTCGTCGTCGTCCGTCGTCGGCGTCTCGTCGTCGTCCCTCCTATTTCGTCGTCGTCGTCGTCGTCGTCGTCGTCGTTGTCGTCGTCGTCGTCTTCCCTCCTCCCTCGTCGTTGCCGTCGTCGGCGTCGCCGTCCTTCCTCCTTCTTCGTCGTTCGCGTCGTCGCCGTCCTCCCTCCTCCCTCGTCGTCGTTGTCGCCGTCGTCGTCCTCCCTCTCCCCTCGTCGTCGTCTTCGTTGGCGACGTCGTCGTCGTCGTCTTCGTCGGCGTCGTCGGTCGTCGTCGTCGTTGTCGTCTTCGTCGTCGTCGACGTCGGCGTCGTCGTCGTCGCCGCCGTCGTCGTCGTCGTCGTCGTCGTCGTCGTCGGCGTCGTTGACGTCGTCGTCGTCGGTGTCGTCGTTATCGTCGTCGTCGGCGTCGTTATCGTCGTCGTCGTTGTCATCGTCGTCGTCGTCGGCGTCGGTGTCGTCGTCGTCGGTGTCGTCGTCGTCGTCGTTGTCGGCGTCGTCGTTGTCGCTGGAGACGTCGTCGGTGTCGTCGTAGTCGTTGTCGGCGGCGTCGGCATCGTCGTTGTCGCTGTCGTCGTCGGCGTCGCTGTTGTTGCCAAGTGCCATGTGGTACCCACCGTCACGGTCTTAAGAGATTTTGCTAACCAAGTTGCGGGTGGGTGGGTGGGATGTTTGCGCGAGCAGTGGAGTGGACAACTCATTGCGAGCAGAAATTAATTGCACCACATATATCAGACCGCGCAGAGTGCATTATATCGGTTGCCGCGCGTAATTGCACCAGGTAGATTGCGCCGCATATAGTGCATCGCGTAGATTCTCCCCTCTAAAAACAGAATAGACTCTACCCCCCCCGGCGTTATCACTACCCCCGCGTCCTATGTAAAGCACATATGACTCTGACCACATGTCCATCCTAAATATGAAATCACAATGTCCCAGGCCAACCGGGTTCCCCCCTGAGGTTCCCTTGTAGAAAACGGTATGCGGTGACATGTTTTGTTCTAACATAGCATTTTTTCAGGAATCCCTCGTAAAAAAACGGGACGAAGTGCACACGCGCGCGTCGTCGCGCGCGCATGCCGAAATTCTTCAACAACTTTCGGTGTCGGAAGGATTTCGCAATCGAGTTTCCCAAAACATGCAAAAACACAGGGTTTCGTTTTGCTAAAAAAGCTTACGCGCGAGCTCTTGCGAAATCGTAAGAAAGCCATGGGTTGTTCAATATTTTCACAACTTGCTACCAAACGGGCTTCGCGCGCGCGCATGTCGAAATCTGTCGAACGTCCTTGCGCGTGTGCCGTCGCGAGAATCCCCTGCAAAAAATGCGACGAACTGCAGACGCGCGCGTCGTCGCGCGCGTATGCCGAAATCCTTCAAAACCCATCGGTTTCGGAAGGATTTCAAAATCGTGTGTCCAAAAAACATACAAAAACACAAGGTTTCGCAGTACGGATTTTCAACAAAAGCGTGCGCGCGCGCTCTTGCGTCGTCGTCGTCGTCGTCGTCGCCGTCCTCCCTCCTCCCGCGTCGTCGTCGTCGTCGTCGTCGTCCTCTGTCTTTCCTCGTGTTCGCCGTCGTCGTCCTCTTTGGCGTCGTGGTCGTTTCCGTCGTCGTTGTCGCCGTGGTCGTCCTTCCTCCTCCTCCCTCGTCGTCGTCGTCGTTTGCGTCTCGTCGTCGTCCCTCCTGTTTCGTCGCCGTCGTCGTCGTCGTCGTCGTCGTCGTTGTCGTCGTCGTCGTCTTCCCTCCTCCCTCGTCGTTGCTGTCGTCGGCGTCACCGTTCTTCCTCCTTCTTCGTCGTTCGCGTCGTCGCCGTCCTCCCTCCTCCCTCGTCGTTGTCGTCGTTGTCGTCGTTGTCGCCGTCGTCGTCCTCCCTCCTCCCTCGTCGTCTTCGTTGGCGTCGTCGTCGTCGTCGTCTTCGTCGTCGTCGGCGTCAGCGTCGTCGTCGTCTTCGTCGTCATCGACGTCGGCGTCGTCGTCGTCGCCGCCGTTGTCGTCGTCGTCGTCGTCGTCGTCGTCGGCGTCGTTGACGTCGTCGTCGTCGTCGGTGTCGTCGTTGTCGTCGTCGTCGGCTTCGTCATCGTCGTCGTCGTTGTCATCGTCGTCGTCGGCGTCGTCGTCGGTCGTCGTGTCGTCGTCGTCGTCGTCGTCGTCGTCGTCGTCGTCGTTGTCGGCGTCGTCGAAGTCGTTGGAGACGTCGTCGGTGTCGTCGTAGTCGTTGTCGGCGTCGTCGTCGTCGTTGTCGCTGTCGTCGTCGGCGTCGCTGTCGTTGCCAAGTGCCATTTGGTACCCACCGTCACGGTCTTAAGAGATTTTGCAAACCAAGTTGCGGGTGGGTGGGTGGGATGTTTGCGCGAGCAGTGGAGTGGACAACTCACTGCGAACAAAAAATAATTGCACTAAATAGGTTGCATCGCATATATTGCACCACGTATATTGCACCGCGTATATTGTTTTACATAGGTTGCATCGCATTCTTTGCACCATCGAATGCACCGCACAGACTGCAATAGCCTTCGGTTTTGGGCCCACGCTGGTTGACATATTTTTCACACAAACATGTATAGAATGAGCAAGAGAGAGAGAGAGAGAGAGAGAGAGAGAGAGAAAGAAAAAAAAAGAGACAGAGAGAGAGAGAGAGAGAAACAGAGAGAGAGAGAGAGAGAGCACGAGAGCGAGAGGCCGACGACCACGACGACGACGGCGACCACAAAGAGGGCGCGGCGAGGGGCGACGCCCCCGCCAGCGGCGCGCCGCCCGCGCGGAGGTGGCCGCGGCGCCGCCGCGGAGCTGGACTGGGCGCAGGAGCGCCTGCGTTCTTGGGGGCCGACGAGGGATCGATCGACTGCTGCTGCGGCTCGTCGTCGTCGTCGTCGTCGTCGTCGTCGTCGTCGTCGACGTCTTCGTCGTCGCCGTCGTCGTCGCCGCCGCCCGACTGGACGCCCCGCGCGTCGTCGTCGTCGTCGTCGTCGTCGTCGTCGTCGTCGTCGTCGTCGTCATCGTCGTCGTCGTCGTCGTCGCCGTCGTCGTTTTCGTCGTCGTCGTCGCCGCCGTCGTCGTCGTTGTCGTCGTCGTCATCGTCGTCGTCGTCGTCGTCGTCGTCGTCTGGGGGCCGACCAGGGTGGCGGCTCAAGAGACGGGGTCGGTGCAAGCGGGGGTCAGTCAGAGCGCCAGATCCTGCAGGGCCCTCTGCAGGGCCAGGGGCGCATTGGTCCGGGCTGGGGCGCAGGATCTTGCATGATCGTGCAAGATTTGCCCGTCGTGTGGCCAGTGCCTCCTAGCCCATGGGGCTGCTGGAGGTACTCTTTCGGTCAGTGAGATTTACCTCACTGCCAGCAGTGGTTTCCCAGCCGCCGCTGCTGTGCCTTTTTCACCTATGGTGTGCGGTCGTTGAGGTCAGCAGGATACTGCAGAGCTCGACTGACCCGGGTCCGGATTGACCCGGGTCAGTGGAACCCGGACAGGAATCGATCGACTGCTGCTGCGGCTCCTCGTCGTCGTCGTCGTCGTCGCCGTCGCCGCTGCCGGCCGAGTGGACGCCCCGCGCGTCGTCGTCGTCGTCTTCGTCTTTGTCGTCATCGTCGTCGTCGGCGTCGCCGTCGTTTTCGTCGTCTTCGTCTTCGTCGTCGTCGCTGGCGGCGGCGGCGGCGGCCGACCCGTTGTCCTCGATCGAACGGGGACCGATCGTGGATCGATGAATCCGGGATGGATCGGGGATTGATCGATGTCCAGTCCTTGATCGAGGATCGGTCGATACGGGATCGGTCGTAAACCGATGCATTGGGGACCGATCGGGTATCGATCGACGCCGTGTCCTCGATCAAGGATCGGTCGGTCGCGGTACCGATCGAGGAGCGGTCGACCCGGCGGAGGCACAATGGGTGTCGCAGGCCTAGAGGTTGACACCAACACCAATATCGGCGGTGTGCATCCACAGTGCGAAGAAGATCCCGATCTCGGTGATGGTGGTAATGTTCTCGTTTCCAATGTGACCGAAACATGACCACCAACACCGAAATCTAAGATCATCTTCCCCCAGTGAAGGCCCCCCCCCCCTGTGCTGGTGTTGGTGCCCGTTTCCAGGCCTCCAATGGACCTCAGCAGGAGGAATATTCAAAAATAGTCAAACAATAGTCTGGGGACGATTTTTTTAACCATGTCTGACTAATTCAAAAGCATTTTTTGGGTATTCTTTATTTTTCGTCCCAAATCCGCCTGTAAGGGGGACATGCCCGACCCAACACAAGGGGTGGACAACCCGGAGCGGGCACTGCACGCACTCGCCGTGGAGCCTCGTCGAAGTCGCGGGCGGTCAGAGGCCCCTGGGCATACGTGCAGTGGTCCCCTTTGGGCCATCCGCCCTTGTTTCGGGAGGGGAAAGAACACACAGACGTAATCCATCGTCGATTCGTAGGAGAATCTGGGGAAATATGGGAAGTGGGGGGGCAGACGAAACTCCAGAAAATAATGGAAAATATGGGGGGTCTTAGGATCTGTGTATGTGTGTGTGTTTTTTACTCGTGTGTCCTTGGGCCCCGCCCCGGTCGGGGTGGGGGCACGACGCCCGCCTCCTGGCTTCGACCGAGGGGGTGGAGATCTCGATGACAGTGCCAAGTCGTGCGTGTCCCTCTACAGGAGGAAAATTAAAAAAACAGTCGAACAACAAAAATAGTTCGGGAGTGATTTTTGGAGAACTTTTTGGAGTAGTTTGGGGCGTTTTTCGACTACCTTTTTCATTTTACGTCCAGAATTCGCCTGTAGGGGGGCATGCCCGACCTGATGCCGGTGCCTCTCCCCCGTTTTCGCCTTACTGGGCCTCCCGGCGGCGGGGCCCTCGTCGCCACGGCCAGATCCGCTTCGGGATGTCAGTCCGAACGCGCCCCGGCAAAGGTCCGGGGAGTACAGTCGGGGCGCTGAAGAAGGAACCCTGTTCGTTGGGGAGGGGCTCGGTGCTCCTTGATTGTTGAACAGTTTGGCTCAGGTTTTCCTGACGTCTTCCATGGGAAATCGAGTTCTAACTTATGGGGTAAATGGGCCTCGTTTCTTGTTCAGGGTTCCTTAGGTCAACGTCCCGACTGTAGCGGCATTGCTGTTTTGTCCCCCATCGATCGAGGGTCCAGGCTCGACCGAGCATCGAGGTTTGTTGGACGCTTGTGACTCTTTCTTTGTGTGGCCTCGGGAGGCCTCCCGAGGCCTCCGGGGACCTCAGGGGGTCTCCCCGGGTGGGCATGGGGCGTGATGGCGGTGGAGCAGCACAGGGAGAGAATGTGCGGCCACTGTTGAGGGCGTTGGGACGCAGCGCAGGCTGCTCAGTGGCAGCCCTCTCACCAGCGGATTGTGCCGTGATGCATGGGTCGCGTTGTAAGAAGCGATTGAGCAGTCGTCGAATGCAGGGAGTGCCATGGAGTAGGGCAGGAAGGGAGTGGGAAAACACAGGTGAGGGAGTCGGTGGAAGGGCGGCTCAAACAGTCGCGAACATGCGAGGCGGCTAGCTGCGAATCAGTGAGGAGGAGGGACGAGGGAACAGGATTCAAGGATTCTAGGTTGGTCTCGCGTGCGTCCAGGAGGGGGGAGGGATGCGGTCCAGGTAGAGAAAAAGACAAATTGCACTGGACGAGGATAGGGGTTAGGAGGCGGTGGAAGCGGATGAGAAGGAGGTGAGGAGGAGGAGGAGGAGGAGGAGGGGGAGGAGGAGGAGGAGCAGGAGGAGGAGGAAACGGGAGGATGAGGTAAGATGAGGCAGGTGGTGGAAAGGGGTGAGGGGGTGTGGGAGGGAGGGAGGGGGGGTGAGTATGGTGTGGATAACGATGGTTAACATGACAATGATGATATTGCTTCTGCTGGATAATGGTTCCACGGCGATGCCGACGGCGACGACGATGATGATGATGACGATGACGATGACGATGACAATGATGATGATGATGATGATGGTGATGATGATGCTGATGCAGATGATACAGATGATGATGCTGATGATGATGACGAGGTTGATGATGATAATGATGATAACACCTATGATGAGGAGGATGGCAAGGACAACAATGAGGACGTCAATGATTATGATGGCACTTATGATTGTGATGTGGATGCTGATGCTGACGACGAAGATGACGACAATAACGATGTTGAAGTCAATGGCGATGCCTATCGTGGTGGTGGTAATGATGATGATGCTGACGGTTCGCTGACGCTGGCGATGACGACTACGACGATGATGATGCTGATGATGATGCTGATGATGATTATCATGATGATGCTGCTGATGATGAAGTTGGTGGTGG